CTTGGCATCTTTCTTGGCCTTAAGACAACAAACAGAAGAAAACAAGAATATTGTACTCATAAATATACATTGATTAGTGCCCAACTATGTCTTCCCACAAATCGATGCATTTTCATAAACTTGAATTAATCCATTAAAAAAAACACAGGAGCAGGTTTGGCTTGTGGAAACTACCATGTTGCTCCACCATCTTAAATACAGTGGCTGAGATGGTTTTGGTATTCCTCTAATTAACAGTTTCTCACATTGTATGAGAGTTTCTTTACTGAGTGTCTGAGTCCAGCGATGTTAGATCAAAGGAAGTTTCACTAACACTGGCTAACAGCAGGTAATCAGTGCAAAAAGAGCCAACTGCTGCCATCCAGTGGTGAGATTTTCCACATTGTACCTTTTAAATTGACTGTTTCTGTATTAACAGTACTGCAGGTTTTAATGGGCTTGTCTTGAGCATCATCCTCCAGCACTTTAGAGAGGAGATTATGTGTCTCTGACAGCTGGTTAAAGGTGATAAGATACTTATGGCGTGATCACACGCTGTAAATTTTACCAGAGGCCTGATAGCCTGAGTCAGACGGCAAGTAGCACAGCCAGGAGAAGTAATGTACTTTCGCCATAAGCTGCTGCAGGTCACAAGCACTCGGCATCTGGCTGCGCTCTAAGTGGATGCTTGAGATTTAACCCGTGGAGAGGCCATGGGATCAAGAGCAGAGCTAATCAAAACAGTGCTAGCCTGTATGATTGAGGGGTCAAAGTTCACTTTTTCAGTTTCACCTTCAGGCTCTCTGTTCTTGATTATGTTTGTAATGATCCTATGCACGCCTGTATAGGGAGATTAAATTCTTAAGTCAAAGAGGGTTTCATTTGCAGTCATTCACAGTTTCCCATGTAAACAGTATAATGCCTGTCAGCCAGTTTACATAAGCAAAGGTTTTTAGGTATGTTCAGAATTCCAGTAAAACAGGTGAGAACTAACTGCTGATGCACCTGTACCTCAAACATGGAATTTACTAATGATTAAAGCCGGAATCTTTTTGTCCCTTAGCCCATAATTTGCATTTCCTGGGAACGTTGCTTCCGTCTGCTGTGTTATACACAAGGGATCGCCACATGTTTGATTTGGAAGATTTTTAGATGATATGCTCTTTATAACACAACACAATTTGTGTCACTACACTTGTGTACACCACACACCCCCATGTTTAGACTAATATCTGTGTGGTGGAGGTAAACCCCCTCCTGTAATAGGCTAGGCCTGACACTGAATTATCCTTTTGATTGCAAAATCATAAATTCTAACTGTAAAATGTAACACGGGTCAGATATTGGTGAATGGCAGTGTGGACCTGTCTCCTTGGAGAAATCAGTGCTTAATGCCGTCTAGTGCTTCCATTTGTTGACCACTAGGTGGTAGTGTGTGGTTAGTAATGTTTAAGAAGCCGCACTGCCAACCAAAGAGAAGTTGTGGACTGGTGCTCGTCTGTCTTTGTAGGTACAGCAATGCTTTTTGCAGGATTAGTTAACTAAAAGTTCAACTGTGAATTGTTGATTATTGAACTGCTGATTCGAAGTTGTGAGGGATGTTTTTTGAAACAGTCAGGGTGATTACTGAAACAATGTCAGGCTAACATTTGTTGAACATTGTGGCATTAATAAGTAGAAATCAGGTTTCGGGTTCAATTCAGTGTTTCACCGAAAAGGCAGCACATTCTCCTCCTTACTCTTTTATTTTTCTACTTGCAACCAACATTGGCTTCTTTTCCTCCCGAACTTGCCCCTGAAAGAGCTATTTTTAAATCATATATTTTAAAGCACATACAGTGTATTTTAGGTTCATTGTTCAGTGCTACACTAATTTGTTTCTTCAGGTGGTCACAGTGTGTTTTTTCTTACAACACAATGGGTTCTAATTACAGTACTTACTCTCCTCCTGAGCTGTCACTTATTTTAATTTCAGTAATCATTTTTCCGTAAAATTAGATGCAGTTTGGTTCAAATGGCACACATTTCCTCTTGGAACAAAACACTGTCAGCTCTGCTCCTGCTGAGAAACTACCCAAAAGCTGATTTTGGCAGAGTCTCACCCCTCAAAGGATCTAGACCTGTTTTTCTTCAAGGAAGCTCGTTTTTACCCCCCCATAAAGAAAGCAAGAAAGAAAGAAAGAAAAAAAGAAAATGGAAAGTGTCAGGGAGTCTTGGAAAGGTTTGGTCTCACAAAAAAGATCTCACTCAATCTCTGTATCTTATCAGCAGGCTCCACCTTCAGTTCTGGCAAACATCCCCATTGGAAATAGAGGGGCTGTTGAGGTCTGATAAACCCTGTGTAAATATCAAAACCAGTGTTAGCTGATAGACGGAGGTGTATCACCTGAGCTGTATCTTAAGCCAGGGCAGGAAATATGTCAGTACTCACTCACCTTTTTTTTTTTTTTTGTCCAATTTATTTCTAGATCATATCATATATACACTTCGTACTATGTATACATCGTATAATCGAGTTTAGCCATAATAATTGTCTTTGTACATTTTACCACTATTTTTGAACTGTGGGGCTTGGTCTCTGATTTGTAAGTTTACATTAGAACTACATTTTCAAAAGCTACAACATGCTTATTGACTTTTTAAACTAGCCTATTAGCTTTGCAGCTTTAGGAGAGAGACTCAAACCAAGGTTAGCTTAATTAGCTTAATTGGCTGAAATACCAGCTCATCAGTTAAAAATACGTAAGAGCCAGAACGAGAGAAATATGCGTACGAGTTATAATCACAGGTTATTTGAAAGTGTTGTGGCCCGAGCTTTAAAATAGTTTTGCACATAACCTCTCATGTGACCGTGTAACATTTTGATTTATAGTTATAGCCTGTACTGAGCTAACAAGCTGCTTACTGTAGCAGTATATTTATCATGCAGACACAAAACTAGTATTTATTTGCACAGTAGTCGACTGTGCAAATGTTTTGACTCATCCCTCATATCCTCATATCATTCACTTGAGTCCCACCACCAGGACTGCATACAGTCATTTGAAAACATTGTTTTTCATACGGCCATAGTATAGCAGTAGTGAACAGTACCTGTCCTGTCAGATAGGCTTGTGGCTGTGTGAGTGTGTGTTTGATGCTAGGATTGTTTTTCTAATTTGCAAAAAGATTTCACCCAAAGGTCTTTTTCTGCATTCAAAATCAACTGATAGTTACTGCTGTCGCTAATTAGTTCAAAATGATTAATTCCGTTAATTACCTGCCACACTGTCGATCATGAGAGCTCTCTTGCCTGAAATTAATCCTCTTTTCCTGTTGTGACTGTCCTGAGTTATTTCTTTTCATTTCCTGCTTTTGGACCTAATATCTTTGGGCTCTCTCACTGATTCAGTAAACTCACTAAATGATAAGGCTGGTCTGAGCAGTACTGTGGCCTTCCTGACTGGAAGAACGACACACAAAAAACTTTTGGTCTTCGAAATTGCAGTCACACAAAATGCGAGTCTACCTCGTGTCTATTTTTAACTTTTAGAGCAACTTAAAGATTTTTTTTAAAACAGCAACATCCAAATTATTTATGGGCACACTATACATAAATATCAAATTCAATTAAGTTTTATTTATATAGCACCAAATCACAACAACAGTGACCTCAACCTGCTTTATGTAAAGACCCGACAATAATACAGATAAAACCCCAACAGTCAGAGGACCTCCTGTGCAGCCAATTGGTGACACTGGGAAGGAAAAACTTAGGATAGGAAGAAATCCTGCAGAACCAGTTAGTCATCTTCCGCAACGAACATGGTTGATGGGCTGATTGGTTGATGGGTTGGTACAGCTAAAAGATTTTTTTTATGAAATGTTTTCCCAGTTGTGTTTCACTGAGTTGAGATTCAGCTGTCTGATGCGATATAGGCGTGAATCGTACGATACCTTTTGTGTATACTTGCTGTACTTTGAAGTGGGAAACAATTGCTTAATTCTGGTTGGATTCTCCTTGTTAGAATGTCCGATTAAATTTGTTTTAATTCACTTAATGTCCCTTTAGTTGTTGGTATGTTGGCTAGTTTGTTGATATGTTGCACGACTGATGTGACACTGAGGGATGTCAGACCTACCAGTATTACTTGATGGTATTTTTCTTCCTTCCAGGAAACAATAAAGATGCAGGGCTGTGCAAAAAGCGCTTCAGCATTTATAGTAGTATGGTATAAAGAGATGAGCATGTATGAGAGTTGAACTGCTCTACGTCTTTCTTTTTTTGGTCTGCCTTCTGGTTTAAAGCTCAGTTGTTTCTTCCTGGCTCAGGCGCACAGGAGAAAGGTGTAGATGTTTATGCAGACATTTTCATTATTGAAGACTTGCCTGCAGCAAGAGGTATTGGATACAGCAAGGATAAATATGCATAGCTCGCTATGGATTCATAATTCATCCAGGGTGAAGGACACATTTGTTCACCCCTCCTATCCTCCAACCCCTTCCTTCAGCCCCCTACCCCCAGGAGTGTGTGCTGGAGTGCAACCCACACACACGCACACTCAGATTCACACTTAATGCATCTTACATCTGGACACGAACACATAGTTATGCACACAGAGTGCGCACACGCTGCATTCCACTCCTGTCTCCTGTCAGAGAACCACACTGCTCGCACTGCAATGCTCGCACGCTTACAGAGTCGTATTCAGATGGAGGGCGTCGGCGGCAGAGCAGAGGGCGATACGCTTTAGTAAGGGGTGACATCCCTCATGGGAAAAACGTGCTAGGGATGGACTTGCTGCAAATGTGTTTGCCAACATTATCGGCCCCACTCAGTCTGTTGATAGTGACGCCGGGATGGGAATGAGGTGCCTGATGGGGTCACTCGTTTCCCTGAAATATCTTTCCGCTTCTGTAGTGCGATTTAAAAAAAACAAACAAAAAAAACAGAGGAGCCGTTACTAGCAGACCAGCAGACGGAGAGCACAAAAAAGGGTTAAATGCAGTCTGAGCGGCTTGGTTCAAATTTACGTTAGTGCTTTGATTAATTCAGTGACAGGTTAATTATTCATCTAATGAATGAACTGACGGCATGGTTTTCTTCAAATCATTTTTGGTTTAATTAGCACCAAATTAATCTGGGCTAATTAGCTGGTGTAATAATCAGTGGGCCCCTCCAAACTTTCTCATCTGTCCTTTTTGGTTTCCATTATTTTTTATTGCTCCTTGACTTGTGGCACTCTTGATAAATGAATTCATTATGGTGCTATAATTAATAACGGCATCATGACAGGATTTGAGTATCAAGGCAATATTTTCTCAGTATCAGTTTTAAGCTGTATGGGGAAAAACAGTTCTTCAAAGCTGTGGTGATTAGAAACATGAAGGTGTGCAGAGGATCGGTTGTGGATTATGTGTCCTCGTCATCATAATCTGTCTGTGTCTCTGTGTGTTTTGTCTTTTTTTAGGATTCACAGATAGAAAAGGAGAAGGCGGTCTACAACATCTCAGGTGGCTGCACAGCGCTGGTGGTCGTCTATTTACTCGGCAACCTCTATGTGGGGAATGCCGGGGACAGCAGGTGTGATACACATGCAATGAGTGTATATGTAAGATACAGTGGGGGGGGGGGGATGATTATTTGATCCCCTGCTGAGTTTGTGAGGTTGCTCGCTTGGATGTGAGGAACAGTCTCTGGTGTTTATGCTGGTTTTATTTTAATGGAGAGACAGAATATCAACCAAAAATCCAGAAAAAAACACATTGCATAAAAATACGTATTGATTTGTATGTCACTGACTAAAATAAGTATCCCCTAGCAAAACACGAACAAAGCATAACACTTCCGCCTCTATGCTTGACTATGGGGATGGTAATCTTTGGGTCATCTTTGGTGACTGTGGTCCAACTCCCTTCAGCTCATTTACAAGCTCCTGCTGTGTAGTTTTGGGCTGTTCCACCACTTTTCTCATGATCATCTTCACCCAATGAGGTGATATCTTACATAAGAGCTCCAGACCGAGAGAGATAGTTTTTTCTGAATAATCACACCAACAGTGATCAGCTTCACGTGAAGCTTCTTGTTAATGGTCTAACAGCTCGTTGGTCTTGTCCACAGTGGAGGGGAGGTTTTAATGAATTAAACTGATTCTGTGGACAGGTGTCTGTGGACATAATGAGCTATAATCAGGAGTATCTCTAATTGCTTGGTTGATTGTAATCTGTGTGGCACACAAGCGCACAACCAATCTGTAGCAGCAGATCGTAGTGGATCAAACACTTACTTCCCTTAATAACATTTTAAATTAATTTAGAACTTTTATGTGACGTGTTTATTTGTTCTGGATTTTTGGTTAATATTCCGTCCCTCTTCATTAAAATGTTGTTTATTTGTGTGTGAGAAAACTAACAAATTCGAAAGAGGTTCAAAAATAGTGATTTCCCCTGCTGTAGCAGACTGTAGAATCTTCTTTGTTTTCGTCTCTGTGTTTCTCGCTCACCTTCTCGTGCCCTTTAGCCTACAGGAACAACTGTGTCCCTTCCTGGATGAATAGAGTTTTGCTTTGTCTGCTCCTCTCCCTCAGAGCTATCATTATCCGGTCTGGGGAAGTCATTCCCATGTCAGCAGAGTTCACACCAGAGTCAGAGAGGCAGCGACTGCAGTTCTTGGTAAGAAAGAACCTTTCTCAGCTCCTTTCTAGCAAGCACAGCTGTCAGATATTAGCAGAGCTGGCCTCCCCTCCTGTTGAGACACCAGCTATGCTTAGCTCTGTCTCTCTTACACGGCCTGCTCTCTGTGCCAGCTTAATAGACTATGGAATTGTTTTTCCTATCCCTAGGGCGCGTCAATCTTCTTCTCTTTCTGTTTTTTTTTTTTCTCTTTTCATATCACAGGCCTACATGCAGCCCCACTTATTAGGGAATGAGTTTACACATCTGGAATTCCCAAGGAGAGTCCAGAGGAAGGAGGTGGGGAAGAGGATGCTGTATCGTGACTTCACCATGTCAGGATGGTGGGTTAACTAATTTTTTTTTTTTTTTTTGGACTAAATTACTGATTGAATGTATGTCAGTGTCCAGTATCCACCTGGGAGGATAACATTTTGGTTTCTGCACTCAAGTCCTTCACATTTGTTAGAAATGCTGTCAATGTTATTTAGCCACATATCTGGCTGAATGCATTTATGAGCCTTCTGAAAGAAATCTCTGCAGCCTACACTATTATTTACATTCGATAGATTTTTGCACAATGTACCCTATAAAGAAATTCATCTGTGTCCCATTCACCGAGTAATTCAGTTCATTAGCACTCCACAATCATCTTGGGAACTTTAGATTGTAAGGTCAGTACTTAACTATTAACACAATGGCCACAATGGGGGGAAGAAACTTTACTTTTAAAAAGTCATTCAAGTCATCAGTTGTCATAAAGAGGTCAGGAACTGTCCTTCGTATTTCTTCTTTTGTGTGTTAGTGGGCAAAGCAAAGACCTTGCCCTGTGTCCTAAAGTGAAGAGAAAAATAAAAAGTGTACAGATGGAGAGAAAAGGAGGGAAATAGGAAAAAAATGTATAAAAACTAAGAACTGGCAAACAGAAAAAGCTGAGACCAGGGCACCAGAGAAACGGAGGCAGGGAAGGTTATATTATATAAACATTGTGTTTACATTTTCTTTATGTAGAAATGGGTTCAAGGATAGATCATTTAATTTTGTAGGACCACTAAAGCTTTTAGTTATCGCTGCTGAATCTTCACCTTTTGTTTTTACTTTTTCCAGCCATGGCAATCTATTAAACTAGCATTACCGCAATTCAAAAACACTCAGAAATAAAGTAAGGTCTTCATCGCTACCTTTACGATTAAACAGCTAATTTAGCATATTTACCCAGGTAACTTAACACAATATGGATTACAAAACTAAACATATAGAACAGTGCAAAGCTCTATAAATGAAAAAAAAAAGGAAATTGGGTTACAGATTTATTAAAAAAAAAGTGCAATCACAACACTCCTTATATTAATAATATTGAGCTCTCCATTCTGCTTAGGCTAGCCTATGAGATTTGCTATTCATGTATGATTTTACAGCATTGACGGTGTGTTTGGGTTCATTGCCACGCTGATAAATTCAGCCAATCAGATGCTTTCCAAATGGTGTTGCATTGCGAATCAAAATCTAGACAAGTCAAAAACCATGACGGAGCCTCTGCCATGTTTTACAGTTGGCTACAGACACTCACTGTTGTACCTCTCAGCTGACTTCCTCCTTACATCCTGATAACGATTTGACCGCTTTTAAAGGTTGAATAATTCATAAGTCAGTTTTAAGTGTTTCAACAAGGGGAAAAAAACATTCTTCCAAAAATGCTCAGGTACAAGGATGGGGTTGAAAACGAGTGACAAAGCAGCCAATATCCAAAGGAAATCTTTGAAAGACCTTCAGAGAGCCTTTTATGAAGTTTGTGGATATGATTGTATTCTTATTAACTAATGACTCATGCATGCAAGCACACACAGACACACGTAAAGAGAGAGGGGATGAGAAAAATATAACGCTCAAAACCAGATGCTTGTTTCGAAGTGAAGGTGCAGGTGTATTATTATTATCATTATTATTATTATTATTATTATTCACGTATCTGGTTCGTGGTGGTGGACCACAGTCAGTATTGGTGCTCTACTTGAGGTGTGACTAATTCTTAGAAAAGACTCACTGTTTTAGGAAATTGAACTGGTAACCTGTGCTGACACTGAGAGCGTGTAGTATAGTTAAATATAGTTTTAAAAACAGTTTTTTATCCATTATTAATAATTACAGATCATTTAAGTTGATATGTAGAATGATCCCTTATTAAAAATCCCCAAACTAGTGGAAAAGGCATTTCAGTTTAGAAAGCCTGCTTTTTAATGTGATTCTAATCAGACTTCTGCATCTCAGTCAGGATGCTCTGGGCTCTTAAATAGGATTTCAGAGCCGTTTGTGTCACTTGCACTGCGACATACGTTGGCAGCATTCTATCCCGAGCTGGCTGAGATACTAAGCAGAATCCATGCAATGACTGGCAGAGCTAATTATTGTGTGTTTTATGTTTTGTATTGTTTCTAGAAAACTACAAGTATTGCTATGCAGATGCATTTACAGGAGAGACACTTCTATCGAAGGAAAGCGTGAACTGAGGATGAAGTGGGTGACTGACGAGAGTTGAGCAGGATATATTTTTTTGACTCCACCTGCATGCAGTTGTGTTTTATGGCTCTGCTCAGTTAAAGCAGATGTAGGTCAGTCAGTGGCTGCACTTCTTATTGGGCCCAAAACTCTCACTCAGTCTGCCTGCTTACTGTCTGAGCAGCAGAGACAGCCTGTGATGTATTTTTAATCAGGTTCTACCCATAACCCAGTTATGGCTCAATTTCACCCGGACTAAGTCTGGGTCTTGAATTAGTACCCTGTCAGCTGCTGTAGCTAATTGATCTGAAGTGCATGGCTCTGACTTAACTGTGTCATCGTCTATAGGTGCAGATTATATGCTGTATAGGGAGAGAGGATCTTTTTTTTTTTTTTTTTTTTTTTTTAATCTTTCTTCAGCTTTCTGTCTGTGCATGTATATGTGTATGTGCAGCCTGTGTGCCCACATGCTGTGAGCGCGTAGGCGTACGCTGGCGTCCAATTCCCTCAAAGGCATCCGTGATCAAGGCTGCAGTCTAATGAAGGCATACAGGCCTGCAGCCCACCTCTCTGTCTCCCTCCCTTGCTTTCTTTACCTCCCCTCCCTCGGCCAGTTGGACCAGATTGAGGTTCTGGCGTTGGCATTGTCGGCTGTAATAGTGGTCATTGGCCGGCATGGCAGGCTGTGTTATTTGCCCAGAATGATGGATGTTGAGCAGTCGGCCGTGTTCGCCGTAATGTAGAAGCTGCGGTAACGCAGGCGGGCAGGTGGAGGGAGGGAAGGAGGTTGGGGAAGAGGGGTGGGTGACTGGAGTAAGGAAAAAGAAGTAAGTGGATTGAGGTAAGATGTAAAAATTGATAAACAGATGAAGGAAGGATGATTGGTATGTTGTGTTGGTCACAAAGGAGGGAAGGGATGGATGACAGTGAATGGTTGTGAAGCACAAACAGTCGTATCAGTGGCATTCACTCAAAAGTCTTTAAGGTATACTTTTCTTCTTACAGAGTGTTGTATGTAAGAAGAAAAAGAAAATACCATGGTCAGCCTTGAAAACAATACCAGGTTCTTGTGGGCAAACACTTTTTTCAAGGTACTTGGCAAATAGATTTTTCCAGGCATCTCGGGAAAACGCGCCTCGTCTCATCTGCTTCTCTCTCTTCATGTAATCCCACACTGACTCCAAGACGCTGAGATCGGGGCTCTGTGGGGGCCAGACCATCTGTTGCAGGCCTCCTTGTTGCTAGAGATGGTTCTTCATGACTGTGGATGCATGTTTTGGGTTGTTGTCAAGCTGCAGAATGAATGAATTTGGGGGCTGATTAGATATCTCCCTGATTATAGCGTGCGATGCGTCTAAACAGCCATAGTGCTGAAAACTTCACAAAGTGCTGTATTAATTTCGCCCGCCTGGAATCTCTCTGTCTTCCAGCCCTCCATCTGCTCCTTCTTTCTTTTTCCATTATGGCTTTGTATTGGTATGACTGATGCCTACAGCTTGCATTAGAGGAGTCGCTGGGTCACTGCCATTTTCTCTGGCCTTGCTTTGCTCTTGAAAGCACCACTCAATCTATCAAGGTTGACCAAAAAAATTGTTGTTGTTTTTTTAAAACCAACTGTCAATTGCACTAATTTGTGTGACTCATCCAGTGCTGACACGGCCCGTTACAATGTCACCTCAGTATCTGTTGACAGGTGTGTATATATAGCAGTGTGCAAGCGAGTTATGACGCAGTGCATGCACTGCCAATGTTTTTCTGTCACCCCCTCTTTGCAGCGGGCGGAGGTGACACCACCTTCTTCCCTCCTGTCCACCTTTTAGTCACCTGCAGGGAAAACATGATACAACCCCTTCTGCCCTCTTTCCCTGGTGTACCCGCCCCCCTTTTAGTCACATGCTGCAATGTATCAAGCAACCAAACATCCTGCGGTGCTTTACAATACTGCAAAGTTTCATACTGAACCAATGCCAAGTAAATACAGGGTCAATAAAAGGCAGGTCATTTAGGGGAGATTTATGAGATGAATCATCATTAATTTGCCAATTCTGAACCCATTTTCACCAATAAATCCCTGTTTTTATTTTTACTTTACGTTTCATGTATTTTGATTTGGGGTTTTGAAGATCTGGAGTGTAAATGCACCTGCCTCTACAGCACTTTACTGTAGGTTATAAATAAAATAGACGTGCCCAATTGATCTGATACCAATTCCAGCGGTAGTATTGATAATGTTGATATCTGGTTCCATTCGCCCACCTCTAACATCCCCCGAGCTGGGAAGCTCAGGGGATGTGAGGATGTGACCACAGGGATGTGACCACACTTCTTTAAAAAGAAGTGTGGTCAAACAGCGCGGCCCTTGAGCAACTTTCTTTGCTGTTTTTAGAACTCAGTGTCCCAGAGCAAGGAGCAGGTATCATAACAGGATTAATGTGTATCTTTCTCATCCTGTCACACTCTTGTTATCTCGAGTCAGACAGGCTGGATTCGCTGTAAACACTCGTCTCGAGGGGGAGGCCGTCCCTGACAGCAGGCTCTGGGGATTTTATCCAAGACATCTTTGAAATAATGACAGGAATGCGTGTCTCCGTGTCGTAGTTTTTGTTTGTTGTTTTTTTCAGGAGATTTAACAAATCTTGAAGGTGAAAGGGTAAAACAAAAGAAGTTTTGAGTGACACAGCAGAAGTAGCACCTCTTCTTCTTTCTTTTTTTTTTTCTAACAAAAACAGTGAACCCTGTCTTGGTAGATGGTTTTAAGTTTCGTATCATCGGTCGTGCTATTTTAGATCTAAGAAACTGATGAGGAAATCCTTCTGAAGGCTCTTATTTGGTAATACAGCTCGCCTCGCTTAGATGAGGCTCTAGACTGTATTCCTGTGTTTGTGGGCTGTGTTCTCTGTGATAGTTCCTGCTTTCACAGTAAAAAAAAAAAAAGAAGGAAAAAGTGCTGAGTGCAGCAGTGTAGCGCTCGCCTAAGGTGGAAACATATGGTCTCTCTGAGTGAAACCAGCAGTAATGTAGAAACCATCCTGGTCCCCGCTAATCTGAAGTACATGGACTGTGGTGTGCTGGGCAGACTTGGGTCACATTCACAAATGAAACATTTGTCTTTTTAGCAGCTTTTCAAACTAAACATTTATTTTCAGGAAATTTCCCTACATGAAACGCATCCCCCGATCCACGTTAGGCCGCTTTTATGACCATTCTGAATATTCTTTTCCTCGCTCCCTGTGATCTGACGGCTAAAATAAAGAGAAACCTGTGTTTCTAATTGTATTTTCAACCAAGTCAGCGCTCGCTCAAGAGCCAGAATTTTATTCACAGCACCTGGTGCGAGTTCTGAATGGAAAACTCTGACCTGGCAGCTCTCGTGGAAATTGGCTGGGTTTTGTTATGTATCTGGTACAGTAAAGTTACACAGCTGCTCCTGTGAAGTACAGCTGCTCGCAGATGAATAGGAGCACACGCACCAGGAGCAAGAGTGCTGGGTTTCTTCACTTCGACTTTCCGAATTGTAAAGGTGAAAAGTGTATCGCTTAGATCTGAGATGAATACAGCGAGCATTGTACAGTCTTCCTCCTCACAGCGCAGCTCTGTCTGGTCCCAGTGTGAAGATGGTAAATTATTCATTAGTTCGCGTGGGGAGTTTAAAGAGTGCTCTGAGAACAGGAGGATGGAAAGTGTGGATTCTCTTGCATCATTTTAGCTGCTTTACTTTCAGACCTTCAGAGGCGTACATGCGCAGGCGCCACAGACAGTTGCAGAAAACCAACAGTGCACCTAGACTGTCTCGTGCAGGCGTCTTCTTTGTCGCTAGGGATACCTTCACAGGATCAGTTAGAAACGGGGGGGAAAAGAAAGTGAGAGAATTAAGCTAAGGATCTCTGTGTGTTTGTGTGAATTTTTAACTCTGCCTTTTCTCTCTCTGTGCCAGTCCCCTCATGTCAGCAGCAGGGCCTGTGGGAAGGAGAGGGGGTGGGGGTATGGAAGTGAAGTATCTCTAGGGCATGTGTGTGCAGCCTGCTATAAACAGGAAGAAAAAAAAAACATTAACGTGTTCTGTATTCTTTGCACAGGGCATATAAAACCATAGAGGAAGATGACCTAAAGTTTCCCCTGATCTACGGTGAAGGGAAGAAGGTAAGAAGTGCTTCCACAGCTTCATGTGCCATGCATGTAATCAAAGCTCACTGGGGCATCATTGGTACACCCGACCTCACATCACCCAAATCGCTGTGTAGAGACATTCCTGGCCTTTTTGAATCCTGCACAACCTGTAGCACAAACGAGCTCTCCAAGGACTTATTATTATGTCTTTCAGCCAATTTAAAAACCAAAAACGAAAAAAAAATAGGCAGAGGTCTAATGTGATGGTCCTATCTGAGTCGTGTGTTAGATGGATATGATGAAAGGTAACATATGCTAACTGAATATATCAATACTGAAACACTGACTTGCACTAACAAAATCTTGTCAACGCTGAAAAAAGGGAAATGACACAGAACAAAAGGTCAAGAGTTTCCCCCTCGTTCAGTTACACTGTACATGCAGTGCTGTGTAGGAGCCTTTCTCTCTTTTTTTTTTGACTTGAAAAGGTCAAAGGAGCAGTGTGATAGACCTGAATATGCTCTCGCCGTGCTCTTCCCCAGTTTTCACTTCCATACGTACAGAAAATAGATCTGAGTTTGACTGACAGCAGGGGAAAGATGTCACCCCTACAGTATTCTGTGTGCCCACAACCGCATTCAGACTCACCCCGGCGCAGCTGCCGGTGCCCACGTCGTGTCCTCTCCCTTTGAAGTGAGGAGCGGAGATGGATGGCTAGATAGAGTGAGAGAGAGGAACGCCAGAACACTTCAAAGCCCCTGGTGCGCAGCCCTCTGGGCCCCGGCACTCTACAATTAATCCCAGGATGTTTTACCCCTTTCTCTGCTGGAGGAACCTTTCCACCACTTTAAAACACTCTCCCTGCGTCGTTCTGCATACTGATCCAAGCTCAGTCCTACTCGGCTCCTCTTGTGCTCGTGCCTAAAAGTTCTTTCTCTGTACAGTAGAGATTTCCTGACAATATGAATCAGCTTCAGGGAGGATCAAACAATCAGTATGTGATTGAAGTGCAGACTTTCAGCTTTAATTGCAGGATTTAAAAAGGGGGGGAAAAAGCGTAGCACGGTGGTACAGTGGTTAGCACTGATACCTCACAGCAACAAGGTCCTGGGTTTGAACCCACCATCTGTTGCTGTGAGGCATGTTCTCTCTGACATGTAGTTAGTTTAACTAGTTTTTCTGAATTGGCTCTAGATGCCTAATGGCTGTCTGTCTCTCAGTGGATTGATCCAAAGTGCTACATTTACTCTTTTTATACAGAATCCCACATTTTCAGAGGCTCAGAAGTAATTTAGCAAACTAACATAATTTAAAATCTAAGGGCTGTTTTTAATACTTTGCAGTCAGTGCCTGAAGTCTAAAACCCACAGACATAATTAAACAAACCCAAATGTTAACCACATGTTCCAAATATTTGGAAAAATTATAATGAATGGTAGAATTATTACCACAGGCTGATGTTGTTGACATCTATCTTCCTGGTTTATGTGCGACCTGCTCTACACATGGTGGTTTATGCAAGATTTTAGATGTAAGATTTTCCTAAAAGCAAAGCGATTCAAATAATCAAAACCTCTGGCTCGTTTCTAAACTGTTCACCAGTCATGGTGTCGTCAGGTTCTCCGATCTCTGCAGTCTGTGACGAAGAGCAGAAATGATGACCAAGCTTCAAAATGGAGACCCGAGTTTCAAAAGGCTTCCACTGTGGCCTTCTAGATAACATCTACATAAGATCTCACTCATTATAAGACGATCAGTCATGGGCAGAAATGAAAATGCCTTTCGTAGAGTTTGTTGCTGCTTTGTTTGTCTCATACGGAGGCTGTGCTTTAAATGCCTCTGATCTTTTCCAGGCTCGCGTGCTGGCGACCATCGGGGTAACGAGAGGCCTCGGAGACCACAGTCTCAAAGTGCACGACTCCAACATTTACATTAAGCCCTTCCTGTCCTGCTGCCCAGAGGTACGCTCCAGTTTTACATTTTTGTGTCCTTCTCTATGTCTGCCTTGGTCATGTTGTTAGAATTTTTGCCTTACAGCAAAGAAGGAAAAAGGATTCAGAGTCCTTTCTGTTCGACCTGTCCAGTGGGTTTGGGCCTCTCGCTAAGTATTGACAAGAACAGGCTCTACCACCCTCTAGGCTCTCAAGGATATGCAGTCATGTGAAAAAATAAGTACATCCCATGGGAGGTTGTTGGCTTTTATGGCTTATCTGAGCAACCAGACATTTGACAATCGTTGAAATACTGACTATAGATAACGATGCTATTAACAAACACAACCACAGCAAATATGCAAAAATAGCCGAGACGGTGAGCGCACTACTTTTGTTTCCATCGTTTTTAGTTTCAAAATAAGAAAGTAAGAGCAAAGACTGGCCACACACTGCACGGCCTCCTTTGGCAAACTATTACAGATTACAAAAGCATTTTGTAAACAGCAGTCTTTCAGTTCTTTCTGTGGATTTTCTCCTGCAGTTCTTATCTATAGGATACTAATTCTCTGAAACTCTTGGGCCGTTTTGTATGTACGACATATATAAAGGTTTCCGATAATGTGCGTTTCGGGGGACTATGGGGCCACAGTGAAACCTTCAAACTTGAATGCCTTAAGCTTTTGAGGTTTGTTTTGCATCATCATATCCTCTTTCATCTTCAGTTTCTCTCTTTTTTTTTCACAGGTGGTTTTCTTTTTGAAACAGCTGCTATTCAGTTGAATCTATTCTTCCCTAAACTAAAACGCTTCCCCCGGCCACTGGCCTCAGCACAAGTTGAAGGCTTTATCGATCCTCACTCCTTGTGCTCAACAGTTAGAGAGGTGCTCTTTTAATGAAATTGCGAACCTTGCTCTTCAGATGACCTTGTGTTATCTCCTAACACTCTTAGATATGGTGCGGAATACATATTTGAATCACTGACTGCAATGTGCCCAGTATCTGAGGCAGCGAAGCAACTTCCAAAATACAACATTTCTGTCAGTGTCCTTTATAGCTTGTATGAGGTTTTTCTCCCACAGAGCTGCCCATGTCTCACCAATCAGGTCTAATGTTTCTGTGGCCAGACAGTATCTTGGATTCATCTACCACACTTTAGGATGTTTGAATCTATGGCAACAAATCTGAAAATGTACCTACTTATTTTTAAAGCCACTTAAAAAATCTAAATCGTCTACAAAATATGAATTTTGTGTGCTATTCACTTGAGTTTATAACCTGCCTTAATAGGAACAATTTCTGTGGGTTACACTTTTTCACATGACTGCATCAAATGCAATGATTACATCGTCTGTCACAAAGCAGAAGAAGAAAAACCTGGATGTTAGCAGTTGTAATGTAATTGTTTTTTACCTTCTCACTCTTCTCAAAGAGTCACCTTCATCGGTCACTTCACAGCATCTATCCTCCGTCAGGTTACATAAAGTTGTTGCTATAAAACAGTGGGTGTGTGGGTACACAAATACAGAATGATGAAAGCAGAGCACTCTTGTGGCACATACATCGCTTGGACTGTTAGTGAGGAAATCTGTGCCTACTCCTTCTTGGCCTTGTTGCTGCGTAGCTGCTGAATGACTAAAATCTGAGAGATATGTTAAGTTATTCTGGGGAAGGGAGCCAAAGTCTGGGTTAGGGTTTAAAATCCTTTGCATTTGAGCATGTGTCAGGAGGGGAGGAGAGAAAACGGAATAAAAGGAAAAGTCAGAACAAGAGTGGCAGTATGTTAACATTAGTGTTTTAGAGGGGCTCTTTAGTTTTATATCACCCTCATTGTGTCAGCCGCCTGATATAACGAGAGCGCAGAGGTAACCGCTGATAGCCAGTAACAGGAGGGACTGTGAACTGTGTGGTCAACGTGTGCGTTGATGGTCCCTGCAGTGCAGTGGATTGCAAGAAGGAATCCACTGCAAATGATTGCAGTAGTCATGAAAACCTGCACATTCTCTTGATCTTTAATTCATTGCACTCAAAGTTCAGTCATAGTTCAGCCTCCTTTTTTTGATGTTCCTATAAGATGAGTGAAGTCAAGGTTTTTCCAGATAGAGCATAAAAACATGATTTCTATATGAAAGACGTGGTATTCCTGAGCATTAAGGGGCCATAATAGCCTCTTTTGAAGAAAAATAATAACAATACAATTAAACATCGGCTTAAGGGTGAAGTCACAGAGGGTCACTATGAAAGGCATGACTGTTAGAGTGCTGTGCACAAAGAACAGTGATGACTGCAGCCTTCAGAGAATTGTTAAGAAAAGTAAATTCAACAAACTGGGAGAGTTTCACAAGGAGTGAATGGTGTCAGTGGATCAAGAGCCACCACATACAGATGGTCTTCAGGAAAGAGGCTACTGAAACGCTAATAAAAAGCCATGCCTGAACCGGAGAAGCATCTGACATGAGCTGAGGAAAGCAAGAAGCGTTTCAGTAGCTCAGAGGTCCAAAGTCTCTTCAGATGAAAGTAAAATTAGCATTTTATGGGAAAATCAAGGTCCTACAGTCTTGAGGAAGAATAGAGAAAAAAGGTGTTTAAACTCCAGTGTGAAGTTTCTGCCAAAGTGCCAGGACTACTACTAATTATTACTGCGTTTGACTGGCCAACCAAATCACCTGACCCCCAACCCCATAGAGAATCTGTGGTGTATTATAGGAAGATGAACCCCAAAATACACACAAACTGAAGGTCACTGTCAAAGTAACTTAGGCTTTAATAAACCCATTCGCCGTCTTCAGGTTTTTCAGCTAATTCAGGGTAGCCTATCCCAGTCATAGGGTGAGAGGCAGGGTACACCTTGGATAGACCACCGGCCTCTCACAGGAGATATACAAACATTCAAAAAGAAGAATTTTTTCCTGATATTGACTTATTTTGACATCCACTAGTTTATATGTTCAAAGAAATGTGTGGGAGAGTGCCCTGCAGGGAATGTGAAAACGTCCTGCGGGGACATGTTTTCCCTGCACACTGTCAAGTTAGAATTACAGACTTCTCTCAGGTTGTGAATAAAAAATAAATAAAACAGGCTGACCTTGGCAGTTTGAGTCATTTTGACATAGAATTTGGGTATTTGAGTAAAAATCAGAGGATCAGGTCCTTCCCTTTTCTTGTCATACTATAGGAATGCTGCCTCATAGATTGATAGTCTTGCTGTGTTTCTCTCTTTCAAAGCCTGACTTACTGTTCATCTCAAGGTTCCCCACAACATGGAGCCTTGTGATCCACACACAACTCATTTTGATAATCTTACAGTGACTCTCCCTGCTTGCGTGTGGTGTTCTGTTTTTAAAGTAGCCTAAGTTGGTGTGCCTGCTGTGAATAGGCAACGCCTCCACAGTAGCAAAAGAATTACTTGAAGCAACCAAACAAAAGCCATCCAAGGCCACTGGGTATTATTTTTGCCTGCTGTTTCAGAGTATGCTTCTGTTCGCCCATAGTAATTTGAAAGACTGTGCCTCACCAGAGTTGCCACAGTAACACGAGTTTCCCTGCTTCAGAATATCTTTGAAGGATTGAGACCATCAACATTGTTTAGACAAGTATATGGAGGCGGATGTGTTAAGAAAGTAGAGATTAAATGGAAAGATCATCCTAGTAATTTTTCTTCTGATATTTTGAGAGATTCATGTAGAGATATCCACACTAAGAGACTTGTTACAGTACAGGTAATCCACAAAACAGTGTACATTGTGTTCTGTGGCTGCCATTGATTTTTTTTTAATTCTTCTTATTATAATCTCAGTAGCTTATGTCAATAAAAATGTTGGGTGGTCCAGCACTCTGGTCCAGAATTGCTTGAAGCACAACAATGAAATTGGAAATCCCTTGACTTGGCATGTAGCGCTAATGATAGATGAAAATTTTGGTTTCTAAGCTGTCAAATCTTTGAACAGTACCAGTGACTGTGTAAAAGATGGCCAGCGTGGCTCCACTCGGGAGCAGTTCAGTAATCCATTTTTTCTTAAGTCACTGGTTAGTGACCCATTAGCAAACATTATAGTATACTCAGGAGATGGAGCAGGTCATCTTCTAATCAGAAGGTTAGTGGTTTGATCCCTGACTCCTCCACTCTGCATGGAAAAAGTACCCTTGGGCAAGGTAGTAAATCCTGAGTTACCCTTTGAGTGTTAATGTTAGACATAGAAAGCACTTAGGCGTAGAAAAATTGCTTGTATGAATGCGGGTGGATGAGGCTTGAAGCAAGAAGCACTTTGAGTGCTCAAGTAAAGTAGAAAAGTGCTATAGATAAACCAGTCCATTTACCACTAAGATGGTGTACTTTAATCGGATGTTTCATTATTACGCCATTTCCAGCTTCTCCTCTGCTTGCCTTCTGTATTGCATTGTGGGAAAGCATTGTAACACTGAAAGCCAGGAGCAGGGAGAGTAGCAGCACAGAAAAGGAGAGGCGTCAGTGACAACAGATACAACCCAGATTAAATCAGATACAGGAAGAAAGAAAAACAGCTGGGATTGAGGCGGGTTGCAGAGCAGCCTGCAGAGGTCCTGTATGAAACAGCCAAGACGGGTGGCAGAAGTACATACATTTGTCAGTTAAGCAGGAGTATACATACTTAGGTGCTGTATTCTGCAATCACAACTTATTAACATATTATAACATATTAACCCCTGAGTATAATGTAATGAATCATGTGCACAGTAAGATTTGCAGTGAATCCTATGCAATAAGCACCAATGACAAATACAAAACAATGACTCCCCGAAAATGCATGAACCAAAAAATAACATGCCTGTACATGAATATGCAAGGAGTAAAAACAGAGGTAATTGTGTTAAAATGTGGGGAGTAAAAGTAAAAAGTTGTCAGAAAAATAAACACTGAAATACAGTTACCTGACAATTTTGCTCGAGTACAGTAATAAAGTGTCTGTGCTTCATTGCTTCCCACCTCTGACAGGCAGTATGTTGTGTAATAGAGTATCAGCTGAGCCATCAGTTACAGAGATGAACTTCCAGGATTCACTCTGAGCCTTGTGTACAGAGCAAATCCTCTGCTCTGTTAGTTTTGAAGTATTAAAGTTGCATCCCGTTTGTCTTGAAATTATTAAATGCTCTTATTGCTGTAATTCAGATTCACCACCCTGGTATTAGAATATAATCTGGATCAGTTTACCCTTTCAAGATTAAAGATAACCACTAGGAGGCCATGGCTAAGGCTTAAGACTGCTGTCCATTAATTACAGAGTGAGCATGTTGAACAGATGAACGTGCAGCACATTATAAAGTGCGTTGCAGCAGCTTTTTCAGGTTAAACACGGCTAAAATGCAGAATCCATCTATACAATATTTTCTGTCTATAAATATGTAACGGGTGTACAAGGTTTGTACAAACAGCAAAGTTTTACAATTCTTGCTTCTCTTTTTTTTTTTCTAACTTCAGGTCAGAGTTTATCCTTTAGCACAGTGTGAGCATGGAGCCGATGACGTTCTGGTGCTGGGAACTGACGGACTGTGGGACGTCCTCTCCAACCAGGAAGTGGCTGAATCGGTCGGCTGTTTCCTGGCAAACTGCGACCCTGACGATCAGCACAGGCATGTTCACCCATCCCACACAGCTGCAGTCGCAGACAGGCCTGAACTTCCTCTCACCTCTGTCTTGTTTGGAGAGGGTGAACGTGGTTATCTTCTCACGATTACGCAAATTTCCAAACATTCAGATAATGATGTCAAAGAGCAGCTCATTAACAGGATTCCCTGATTATTTCCTCAATGGTTTTACTTTTTTAATTTTTAATTTTTGTTTGTTTTCTTCTGACTGTGGGCAGAGGCATTTATTCAATGGCTGCACATTGCCGTTATTCCCTGTTTTGATCATTATCTAATTGAATATCGCCGTGTGATGCTGACACCGTAACTACTTCTCACTTTCGTTCCCTCAGGTACACGATGGCAGCTCAAGACCTCATAATGAGAGCGAGGGGGGTGCTGAAGGATCGAGGCTGGAGGATAGCCAACGACAGATTAGGCTCCGGAGATGACATCTCTGTCTACATCATTCCCCTCATGTATGGAAACAAGCAGAACTAGCCAAGCTACGAAACCGCAGCCATCGCTGAAACACAACCCTGCCTTGACCTTTTAAAACTTCACATGTGCAGTTTTACCTCATTCCTTGTTCTCCTTTTAAAAGTGCTTTTGTTTCTGCTCAGATCAAAACCTGATCTGTCTCAGTTTCACCCTGATTATCCTCAATCAGGGTGATCTCTCTCTCTCTCTCTCTCTCTCTCTCTCTCTCTCTCTCTCTCTCTCTCTCTCTCTCCCTTTTTTTTTAAATATTGAAAAGGAAACAATCATAAGAGTAGCTGTTAATGATTACTGTTATTATTGTTTTTTTAATTCTCGTGGAAGCCATCCTTAGCTGTGTTTCGGGGGGCAAACCCTGTAAACCTGGACTCTCGAATGAGATGACGACATCTCAGGACTGCTGTTACTAACTAATGCACAATATTTAATAATGTGAAAATGTAAATAATCTGAAACACAAGACATTGGTTAAGTGTGTTTGGCTGAACACCTGTACAGTGTTTAC